TACACACTAAAAAATGTATTTATTATTAGTTATTTGTGAATTCTTATGTAAATTCGTATTTTTCAGAATAAGATAAAGATTAAAATAAAGAAATCTTGATACAAAATTATTTTATTTATCAAGCATTATAAAAAATATCATACTTTCAATATTTTACATTTTCAATATTTTATATTTTTTCGTATTATATACATTTTATCGAATTTTGCACTTTCAAATTTCACATAAATATATAAAAATCCATATTTTAATTATTTGAATGAAGAAACATGATATAGGAACAGTTTATTTTACGATGTTCACATTTCCCTGCATGCGAAACTGGGTTTTATAACTCCTATTATATACACTGGTCAAAGTAAATGAAACGTTCCTGAGAACACAAAAATTTTTAATTTGGTTTACTCCAATGGTATGTGAAAATACAGAAAAATAAAGATTTAATTTATTATATTAAAATTTTCACTTCACAATTCTGTTATATTCAAATTATTTAAAATGCTATACATCTATAAAAACCATTGCATTTTCAATATGATTTGCTCAAACATTTGCGTTCGTTTACGGAATACCTGCAAACACGAATAAAACGTTACGAAATATCATCAAATGAACGAAAGTTCTATTTGTTCGCTCTTATTTAGTAGGACCGTTTATTACAGAGCTGGTTAAAACAAACTGTCCATCGATAAATTAACCCCGCCTCTCTAATAATGCAATGCGGTCATGGTGGTGCATGTCAAATGAATTTGCATCGTCCTTTATTAAAGCATTTCTTAATAATCGATCGATCCAGGGAATACGAGCTATTCCATGTCAAGTCGTGAACCTGAAATCGGAGTTGTTTACAACCATCTTATACCCTCGACGTTTATCGGCGTTCGAGAAAACGAGTTTCCGCTAGTTTCACGACGTCTCTTGTGAACGATTTTTCGTATAATGGAAAAGAATAATTTAAAATGTAATAAATATTGAAATATACACCATCGTGCTTGAATTCTTATACACTTTTCATGCAATTTTTATAAACTAACTATATATTACAAATTGACAATCGTAAATCAGATATGATATGGTGTTTTCTAGTTCTGTTTGGTTTATAGATTGAATGCTAAAAATAATCAAATATTTCCACGTGTTCTAGATTCGAATAAAATTTCATATAAAATGTGATTTTTACTGGTTAAAAGTCACAAGATAACTTTGCCTTATAATAACAAATTCAAGTTTCTAAATATGAGTATTCCTAGAAACATTATCAATTAAAGCAAAATATTATCTTACGCTAGTGAACATTAAACTTTCATAGTGAACATATAATTTAGAATGAATATATAATTGAGTCCCAACTAACAAATTGTCATCAACAAAATAAATATTGAAGCTATCGCGAAATAAATCAAAAGTCAAGGGGTTAACCTTTTACATTCGATAATATCTTTTCCTATAAAAATTCATTATTTTCTGTTGAAATACTGATTATATCTTTTACAATTAATTTAAAGAAATATATTGCATAAAGTAAAGTGCGGAATTGTTTTATTTGAATGTTACATGCATTGATATATTACACAAAATTTAATATTCAATTTTATAATTTTGTTTCGAATCAACTGACGACTAAAAGTCGTCTCTCGAGTGCAAGATTAATAACTGATATACAATTTATAAATTACTATTATCAATGCCATATAATGTAGTAATTTTCTAATATCCACCGACGAGGTTATTCACGCTGAACCCAATATTTACTATTACACTAAGAATCCTGAAGTCTCGAGCCATTTGTGCATCCCCTGTCTTGCTACTGCATTCCAATCACGTAACCTCAGTTCGTCGTATTTCGTCCAGTAACCTCGGTATGAAGCCATAAAACATGTCTTGACAGTAAATTACCAATAAAGATGGTAATTTGGACGCATTACCGGTCGCCGGTGCGGACGTGTGTACATCACGAAATATACAAGCCACGCGCGAAACGGCGATCGATCTGAAACCGCGAATTATTTGTCGCGTGGCGAACAGAATTTTTCACGATTTTCCGCTTTATCCATACATATTTACGATCCTTCCGTTTCGTCGGACGGCCGGAAACATTTTCATTCGTTACTCTTCCGGCTCGGCCAGAAAAGCAAACAAAAAGAGAGGAAAAGGAAACGCCGTGTACGAGCACATGTATAAACGGGTTCACAATGTTTGTTTCAAATTATTTACGGACATAATTATTTTACGCTGTCTCGTGCAACGACCTATCGAAACTTTTGGAGTACATGTCTTTTATGCAAATATTTTGGTACGAGTGAATCTAATTTCAGAGATGAGTTTGATACATCAAAGTAATGATAGTGAGAATAGTTCACGTGAACGTAGTTACTAGTTGACTTGGTTCTTAATGTTATGCCTGAATAGTTTAGATCAAATGTATTAACACAAACTTAAGTTAACTAAGTGAAATTGTTAAATGGACTTTAATCAATTTTTTAGTAGTCATTAAGTTGAAAACTTAATCAGACTTAACCAGTAAAGTCTTCAAATAATGTAACGAAATTACTATTTGAAGAATTAATTATTAATCTTTTAAAGAATTACGTGTAAGTATAAATAATAAAAAGAAGCTTTAAAAACTCTTAAGCTTTTTTCAATATACTATAAAGATTCAAAAGTTAATAAAGAATTGATAAACTTTTTGTATTGAAATGATAAATGTATTCTTTAGAACTGTCATTGAGAATAGACGAATCTGAGTCAATAAAATAATTTTCATTTTTTTTCTTTCTTCATTACATCTCCAAACCATTCTCTTTAAAACTGTATACTGTATTGCCATATAGTATTGGTATTTCCTGGGTGGATTCTACACACATGTAATGTAATGCATAGATAATTTTATTAAAATCCTGTGATTAAAATCTGTTGAAATTCAATAGAGTTCAATTTATCGCACGATTTATTTGTGATATGTAATACCAAATTCAAATTCAATATATAAATACAAAAGTATTTATTAACCTAATTTCATTATCTATGCACTTTATAAAACTTCTTAAATTTCTAAAAATGTCTGAATATATATAATTTTTCAAAATATTTTTATTAAAGTAATAATTATTTCTTATAACAATTAAATTCACTTTTTATAATAATTTTAGAACAGATAACATCTTTATCTAATTACAAGCAATTACCATTTATAGGTAATAATTGCCATGCATAGGTAAATAACTTGTTCACTGAATTTCAAATGATATGTAAAATATAAATATGATATTCTATCATAATTTTAAGTCTTTGAAGGAATTAAATAGTACTTAACCACTGTTTTTTGCCATTTTAAGTCTGAAAGATATCCAAAATTTTCGTACACTTACAGTATCAATCTAACAATAAATATATTACCAATAATTCACGAGTTTAGGAACACTAGTAAAATTAAGAAATAGAATACATGTTGTATATTTAATTTAAGGGACTGCTGCATATGTCCGAACTACTCTGAGATTGTATATTTAAACTTGAAAATCATCCAAATATTTCATACAACTAAGCTTTCTATTAACAGGTATAGCATATACTACTTATCTCTGATCACAAATGTAGGATCCCTCCATACCAACGAAGGACAGGATAAACTAGGCATCTTTTTTAGCTTCATATCTGATGATCTGAAATACCAATCGTGTAGAAAAAGTAGATGATTCCACCGACAAGAGATAGGATAGACTAGACATGGAATGTCAATATTTATCATACGGCCGGAGGAATACGTGACCCTTTTACCATTGCCATGTCACTTACAACCAGGAATTGAAAAGATTCCAAAAATATCTGTTTGAAACTGTTATACATCGGTTCTAACTGAAACAGTTATGCAAAACCGAGATAATAATAAATAACGGTATTATATCAATTCTAAAACGCTTCGGCAACTGTTACTTTTTGGTTTTCGAAACAGTTATGAAGAACCGAAGTGAAGAACTATGAAGATCCAAAATGAAAATCTGAAAAATAAGTCATAAAACCGATACAGAACCGATATAATATCGGTTCCGAAGAACTGGAACCGTAACCGATATACCAAATAACAATTATGGCTTGTTTCAGTTCTTCATAACTGTTTCAAGGATCGAAACTGATATTATAACTGTTTTCAATCCCTCCTCACAACCTTAATAACAGAGTACAAGTAAATACAAATACATAAACAAAAAACATATTCTTTTTTATTTTCTTATCTGAAATTAAATTTTTCTATATACTCGTAATTTCATATAGATACTTATCAGAACATTAAACATAATTCAATGAACATAACTTATATTATTCTATCAGATCTGCTAAAATATTCATTAAAACACAGTTAAAAATTATTTACTTACTTTTATCTGTATAGAAAAACTAAGGTGTTTATATTTTTTAATAATAAAATATTTAAAAAAATAAAACAGAGCAACGCGACGATGTGTATTAATTATCGCAAAATGTATTTGTTCTCTAAGCATATAAGTATCTATTCTACATTCCACAGTTACAGCTTATTGTTACTAATAAAAAATTGTTTAAATAATTTCGGGTGTAGATTACATTTTTTGTTTCTTTAAAAAATTTAACTTGCATGTTATTAAATGAAATTCTACCACAAATCTACCAAAGAACTCTTATCAGAGGAGTGGCTACTGAAAAAAAGGAACCCATTAAAGCGGTTAAACATACCAATACTTTAAATATACCCATTCCTACCGTAACCAGACCAATAATTTGTTATAGAATAAAGATAAACAAATTAAACGATAAATGTTTCTTAGTAGAAACAGAAACCAAACCAAAGGAAGAACAAATGAAAAAGAAGAATATAAGAATTGGTACAAAGTTAAATGGACGAAAGGAAACACAGAATTGTAAATGAAATTTTAATATCGGTCATATCGTGTTACGTTTAGTGTTAAATATATTTCGACATAGGAATATAGATCACAGTGCGAACTACAGTATTCATACAGGTATATTTGATTTTTATTGAATGTTGGTTTTAATATAACAATTATGTTGCTTAAACTGATTTTGGTATAAATATACATTTATATACAAACATATGGCTTAGATTTTAAATAAAATTATAGTACAATGTACAATTTCTATTTTCTGTGTTAGACGCAATAAAATACTGTTAATTATTGTTACACAAGGAATAGTCATGGGATATAATATATTAATTAATTTATAATCATAAAGTTAAGCCCGATCTTCTGAAACATTTGGCAGTTTCTTGGCTCTGATGAATCGTAGGTACAAAATGTCTCAACCCTATAACCCCGTTTTTTTTTTAATATTATTTACATTATTATCGATGTTCTCGCTGAAGGTAAATGTCACTTAAGAAAGTATATAGGAAGGAAAGGAGGCTAACAAGTCTTGTACCGCGGTACATATTTAACGTTACATATTTCATCTGAAGAAAGTACCAATACACCGGTCAGTATCACAGCTAGTATTCGCACTTTCGGTTCGAATCTAGTAAATACATACATTTGGAAAATTGTTTATTCTGTGTACGCGTGGTGTTTCGAATCAGGAGAGGAGAAAGATAGAAGATTGTTTCTTGTTGATGCGATTAAACGCCATGCAGAGTTTCAACTACACCGATGTAGGAGATTCGAAGTATTGTATCTGCAACGTACTGCAACCGGACGCAAAACAATCTGCGTTCGGCGAGAACTAGACTTTCGTATTACTCATTCACATACAGTGTCAATGAGCAGTTGAAATCCTTTGGTCCGACACTTTCTCCTCGACAAATCATTACTAATTCATCTGGAGATCATACGCTCATTTAATCAACTGCGCTACACACGCAAACATGTTTGCGTATTTAGGAATATAATCACCTTTAAATAACGCCTGTACATTGTACATTCTATTCTTGGTTTTATATCTAACCGCAACAATTATTTATTAATTCCTTACGACTCCGCATATCATAATATTCGGCAATGCTCCACGACGTTTTCGCCATGCGCCAAGTGATTGTGCATGAGCTTGCAACGTCCTACACCATCTCTTTGTTCTGGCTCCATCTTCGGCCTAAACAGAAGTTTCAATTTTTTATGATGTATTGTCAAACAATGTAGTTTTTGCATTATTTTGTCATTTGGCTGAATGATAGCTTATTTTAGTTTATTTGAAATTGTTTTAAGCATTATCTATTTATAGCTTTGTTTCATACTATTAATCCTTGTTAACCCCTTCAGGCCTGATTTTCGCACAAAACTATGTGCACTTATTTGACAACAGAAGATTGCTACTCAATGCACTATCAGTAATGATATCTACTTTGAATAAAATTTGATAATCTACTACTTTTATAATAAAAATAGGCTTAAAGAAAGGGTAAGCTTAAACAATTTCCAGTACCCAATATCAGCTACGTTATAAAGTGGAAGCACTGTTCACAAAATTTTCTTTATATATATAAAAATATTATTCTTCATATTTATTAAATACCTTAAATATAAAAGTTTCCTTGGAATACAGTTCTTGAACTTCAAAATAATCCTCAAGATCTGTTTCACAGCATACAATACACTTGTCAAGGTACAGTGGCTCCTACAACGAATGCATTCGTAAATAGAACATATATTTAACAGCATGCTACAGAATTAAAACTGTATCAAAATTATATAATTCACTTACGCGTAACAAGGAATACCGCCCGAATTTTTCTTTCACTAACAAGAGGGTAGCTTCTTTGATACCTATGTACCTTGGAAAGAGGGAGTCGTCATTGAACTCAATGTCTTCAGCATTTGGCTGAAAATAAAAAAATATTTCGTGTAAAATAAGTTTATTTTATTTAAGAAAAAATTCGTATGGGTTCTTAAATGAAAATTTAAATTCAGAGAGTGTTCCTGCTAAGTAATTTTATCTTACTTGATATTAACGGCATAAACATAACTTGTTAATACCAATTTCATTCATTAAACTAGTAAAATACTAATTGAAGTTAAACCTTAATTCATTGTTAACAAGAAAATCATACGAACAATTTCCAGCACCTAATATAATTTATGTTATAAATTTGAAACACTGTTCACAAAATTTGTTAACTTACTTTGCCATTGGTAACCAACATGGCGGTAACAGGAGCAAGCTTGACGGTTCGTCCTCGTCTCCAATTGTTATCAGTTGGTTGAGCAACTAAGAGACGTCCTTCCAGTACAAATTTGGCTTCCTCATGAGCCCATTCTAAAACTTCTACGGCCATCTGTTAGAATAAATATATCATTGAAATAATTTACATCCAGTTAGAACAAAATTCAAGTTCTTTCTATTATTAATTACATAGCTCTAGGTTCTTAAATTTCACTCTTAATCACAAATGTTTAAGACTATATTTTATTTAAGAAAATTCGTATATCAAAATCTGAAATAAATTCGTCAAGCATATTTTAACCATGTTTTGCAATACATTTGTCAATTTTGTTTTCTTATAATTATAGGTCGAAATATGTACTTTTTTCATATTTAAATTTATCAAACAATATGATTGTTTAATAAAGCTTATTACGAACTGTAAACATAACAGTTACATTTTGAAAATATAATTATATTGAAATTCCAAATACATCCATAATGTATCTTTTAAATTGTTCATAATTACCTTTCTCAATTTTATATTCACCATATCTTGCTCGCCGATTGGCCGTCTACCATTTTGTATAATGGAAATCCTTCTCCAAAGTTTTGTTGAAGTCACATCTTTAGCTTCCTGTTGTAGTATTATAGGAATATTTAACATTTTAAATAAAAATTTAAATTCATCTTATTTTAAATAAATATTGTATGCGTAAATAAAATATTTACAGCATTCATGTGTTCCAAATGTAGCTCGATGTTGGCTTGGGCCTGTTTCAGTCTTTCTTTAGCTTCTTGGATATCTGGTCGTACTGATGGTGTAGCTTTTAGTAATCGTGCCAGTAAAAGAGGATACTTTGTCACTCTTTGGACAGGAACCTTAAACAGAATTATTTTTCGTTTATGTAACTATTTAACCCTTTAATTTCTGGTGACATCGCCTTCAAACTATATACTTCAATATTAGTAAAATGCAAACCAATGGACTAATCGCGAAGCCACTAGTATAAAATCGATTAATAACCACCTATTTTTTTATCATTAGAATAGCATTTATAATAAAAATGGTTACTTTTTTTACAAATAATAAGATAGTTAATGTATATTGTGAAAATAAATGTATTTTTTTCTAAAAGCTTTTATTTGAAATCTAAAGGGTTAAAAAATAAACTCAGAAAAGGAACGGGAGTTATTATTTTTAATATAATAATTTATATATTTCATATAATGATTTAGTAATTATTTTTAACTCATCATATTCATTATTAATGTTTTTTGTTACTATAAAATTTAACGATTAATGTTAAACTTCCGAATATTTAGTATTGTCATTATTCTGTAACTATCGTCCATCGAATCTTTTACCATTTCTGAAAGCTGTTTTTACCTCCAATGTATAGAAATTGTAGCTTTGTGATTTTCCTTGGATCTTACCATAAGAAATGAATTCAAGTTCATCCTACGTAAAACGGTGTTTTCCATTTGCGAGACTCTTAAAAAAATTCGCAACAGTTCCTTTTCTTTCTCCAGATTCTGTAGTAGTAAGCTTGCGCTTCCTTGACGGGTGCAGTAACTTTCGAAAGCATGAAGCATCCGTTCAGACTCCAGGAAGATTTTACCTACGTCCACTGTTAAAAGATCTTCGTCTCCGGATTCCTGTTTACAATTTCATTAACAAATTATTTTTGTTTTGTATGATATCTTTTTTATAAATCTACTATAATAATAAAAGTCTACTTATATTACTTATTCATTTAATTTTAGATTATTTACGAATCCTTATTTAGTTATTAAAAACTCATACAATTTAATACATAAATTTCGATTAATTTATTTTTGGTCTTGCCTTATTACTAATTTAGTTTTTCTTTTATTAATTATTTTTTATGTATCTATTGTTAATTAAGTACTTAAAAAATGTGTAAAATAGGTCGTATAGCAAACTTCAAACACTTCAAAAATAAATATTAAAAAAAACACGTACAATATAAATAAATATAATACAATAATATCTATTGTATTTGAACCAAGGTGAGTAGTATGTAAAATAAATGAACATAAAAATGTTAACCAGACTTTTAAAAACCTCTTTTTTTAAACCTTTTTTCAGACAGTATAAAAAATAAAGATAATCCTAAAGTATTTATTATTTTACAATGGTTATATTACAAATGGCAGCTGAAGTATATTTTTACTCTGTCCCTAATTTTTTAGCTATATTTAGTCAACACAAAAAAATAAATATAATTTCTTCCAAGCATTTCTGCTCAATAATAATTAACAAATAACAAACAATCAAATGTTCATTTACCTGTGCCAATTCTACAGCATCCTTCAATTTTTCAGCAAGTACCAGATTGTGTTCCAGTAGCTCTTCGACATTGAGAAATATTGCTGTTAGTTGTTCCGAAGTGAGCAGACCAGCTCTGAACATCGGTCTATGAAACTCTTCAAGTATGATTTGCAGATCCCTCCCATACTTCTGTTCAGTCTCCACGATTTCCGTTATAATTTCTTTGCGCTCCACTCTCTTTTTGGCGCATTTTCTGCATACAAAGGGTGCATACACTACACCACTAGAAAATACTCATCGTTATTGTACATAACATCCCATTCACATAAATTAAGTTACAAACCTTATAATTTATGCATGATTTTCCTTCATTAAGTTCTTTTATATCATTTTATAGATCGCTTATTATTATATAAAATTGTTCTCTCTGTTTAACAAGTCATTTTATCCGATTTTTTTAGTTATACATTCGTTCCTTCAATTACCTGGTACTTTTCATACGTGAGTTTCCTTTTACGCATTAAATTATAACATTATTTACGCAGTAAAGTTTTTACGCGACATCTATTCACGAAATCTAAATTTAACGACATCCAATAAAATTTACTTCTATTTTCTGACATCATTATTATTATTTCTTTCTGAAGCTATGTGAAGTAAATATGTTCTTCTAAAACATACAACAGTTTTTCTTTTCAATATTTCGTTTTCTTTGGGTCTGACAGATTCTATTTGCGCGATTTTCATTCGCGTAAAACGAATCCACACGAAACAAACACTTCACATAAATAGAGGGACAGGTATGTATTATATTTGTTCACACACTATATTTTTGTTCGATGCGTTGAAAATATATTAAAAATGGTATATAAAGATATGTACTTTTCATTGCAGAAATTCATTTTATATTACTTATTAATGCGATGCATTTTTATGCAGAATGCAGTCGAAAGCGTTACTGGTATTTTGGCACAGAGGCTCAATTGACGTTGATGTATATTCGGTAACGAAACTTTCGCTTCTTGCGGTAAACAGAATCGATAGTAAGAGAAAGCGAGATTCAATGATTCTTGGACTTCTTACGCGGTTTGTCTTCGGAGATATTACTGCAGCCTGCGTAAAATATTTTCAGTAGTCCGTGAAACATCACGTTTTATATAACTTTAACAAGGGAAAACGTGAAGCGAATTTGATACTCGCATAAGAAATAATGCATAATAAAATTCTACAGACGAACGAAATCTGCCATAAATGTATTTGAATGTATCCCTTAGTATATTTAATATTATATATATATATATATTTAACTGCATCATTAAGAAAATATGTTTCAGGAAAGACTGAAGTGGAAAGTTTCATTGAGATGCTTCCGAGACATTGATTAATATTTATATTATTATGGACACATCAAAGAAAGAAGTAAAGATTCTTCATTAAATTTTCTAGTTTCATATTTATTATGGAAAAATTTGAATTTTCTTGCAAGCTCACTCGTCTATAAACAAAACATCGTTTAACTTATTTTCAATCTCACCTTGTTATTAATTTATTTTTTGTTTCATTAATTATTTTGTATGTATCTATTGTTAATTAAGTATTTAAAAAATGTGTAAATTATGTCGTATAACAAATATCAGAAATAAATATTAAAAATATATAAAATATAGATAAGCATAATATAATATAATAGTATCTACTTAAATGAAGGCATTTCATAAGTGTGTAAAATAAATGAATGTAAAAATACGTTTCAGGAAAGACTGAAGTATAAAGTTTCATTGAGACGGTTTTAAAACGTTAATTAATGTTTATATTATTATGAACACATAAAAGATAGAAGTAAAGAGTTTTCATTAGATTTTCTAATTGTATATTTATTATGGAAAAATTTGAATTTTGGTATAAGCTCACCTATCTGTTATCAAAGGATCCAAACGTTGTTCGCAATCTTCGCAGAGCTTTGAATCACCGGAAATCACTTGTGGGATTCCACCGAAGAGACTTCCTGGTCCCGAAGAGACATTTCCTGCTCGCCAACGTCGCGGCACGCCTCGAGTGCTGCTGGCCTGGCTGCTTTCCGATCCCACTCCGCTGTCAGTTCTTTCTATATCCACCGCTCGGGCCTATAAGAATTACAATTCTAAGATACTTATTTAATTAATGAAGCCTTATCATACTAATAAGTATGTGTGTGAACATTGTTTATTATTTATGAAAACTGTAAATGAGACGTTAAATTATGTAGTAGAATATCTTGCAATGCACCTTTCATTAGAAGAATTGGTAGTATTGTTTTCGTGATGCGTATAAAATTATCTGCTGTTAGGTAATGTTTATCAGTAAATTGCGAATATTTATATACATTTGTATAAATAAAGATTTTATAAAATTTTAGTTGTAAGCATTGTTTTATTGTATTTTCTATATTATTTTATTTATACTTGTATTAGGTAAACATAATAAGAAGACGGCAATAGAAGATGATTATATGGTTAGATAGTAATTGATAAAAACTATTGCAATTTTAGTGATAATAAAATTATATGAACGATGTAAATAGATATAAACAAGTGTAGGGATTTGAAAAATTGATAAAATTATAACAATTCATTTCGGTAACTCGTTGATTGAGTCGAAACTTTAAACTAATTAAAAATAAAAATCTCTTGTTGATTAATTAGTTTCAAATTTCGCAACTTTAGTTCTAGCAGTACTCAATATCTGTTCATATTGAAAAATACTGCGACCGGTCAAATGACCGTTCTAAAACGTAATTTAACCCCTCCCGTTATAATTTATTTCTTAACTATGGTCGGTACAACTACTTCATCGTTATTAATGTAATAGCAAAACGGTTTCAATGCTTATTCTATGTTTACATTTACTCCAAAGGTTAACGGTTGATAATAGGAAACTAATATTTGTTAATAATATTAATATAATTTAGATTTATCAAATTCAATTTAGAATTCTCCTTACGAGTCTGACACGATTTTATAGACGAAGGGGTTAAAATTCTGCGTTTTTTGCCTTCATTTAACTTTACATCAATTCACGTATTGTCGAATGAATTAGATTTTCAATTTCCGTTTTTCCTTTCGTTCCTGTTTCCACTACAAAAATATGCGGTCCAACTTGTTCACCTTTATTTTATAATCAGGTATTTGACTGGTTACGGTAGGAACAAGTATATGCAAAGTGTTGGTACGTGAAGTGTTAATCCTTTGCCAAGTCGCCATTTGATTTGATACAGCAAAATTGTAAAATTCTATATTGAGTACAATGTTTAATATAATGTAATTAGACATTAAATATAAAAATAAATTAGCTGTATCCCTTAATTCCTATATTATTTCTACTTTAATACAGTCAAAAATTTAGTCAATGTTTCAATGTTCAAGTGCGAAATTTAGTTAACACTAAAAACTACCCAACACTTAAATTGACTTTTTAAAATTCCTCCATATAAACTCCAAAAGTACATCTATTGAGGCTTTAATTGATTTATAATTCAGTTTTCGTATTGCTAAATCAGTTTCTTTAATAATTTCTCAAAGAAACATGTGTTATCTTTTTAATAATTGCAAAAAGGAAACATGAGGAATGGATCGTTCTGACCCGTCTATTAGTTTTAGTGTTAATATACATGGTGCATATGAAAACTCACCTTGGACGTTTCCGATGAACTAGTCAAGATGATGTTGCATTCCTCACTGCTGTCAGAAACATTAGAAATTTGCGAGCTTTTCGAGCTAAGATCTCCAAGACTAGTCTCCTTCTGCTCGTACAGCGCTTCCAAGTCTCCTTCGGTGTCTTCTTCGTCTTCGTCCTCATCGTCCTCGTCGTCCTCCCCTTCGATCGATATCGCTCGATCCTTCGAGTCCATCAGGAAGTTAAGCAGTTCGAATTTGCTTGAGATATTCTCCTCCTCCGGCGATATGGACATTTTCTTAAAAAAGTCTTCGGGGCTCTTAGACAGATAAGTTTCCGTGAGATCCTCTGACGTAGGCTTCTTGAAAACATTCTCTGTCAAATATGACTCGAGAAACTGCTCGGAGCTGCCTTTCGTGTAATAATCAATATCTCCAAAGTATATTCTGTCCTTTAAATAATCTTCTGTCGGCGGTGGACTCAACGGCAAAGGAGGAGGCTCATCAGGAATCTCCTCATAGATAGGCTCCTTGATGACTTCGTAAGGATTCTCCTCGAGGAAAAGATTCGTTGAGATGAAGTCACCATCCGAATTCAGGCTGGACGTCCTCGAGTAATTCGCCTCGAGGGTCGATTCCGAGCTCTCGTACTCCTTGCTCTTCAACAAACTTTGCTTCAAGATCTTCAGAATCGCCTCGCCGCTGCTTTCATCCAGAATCTCCCCGTTCTCACGGGCCTTCCGTAGCGAATCCTCTAGCAGCTTCGAAATCAACGCTTCCTTCGACAGACCAGAAAGCTTCGACGAGCCGTCCTCATCCTTCTGATGACTCCTCTTCTCGGTTCGTTCCGTTTGTTCGTTCGTCGCTGGGCATTTCCCGCTATCCGCGGTAATAGCTTTAGCTTCTGCATTCGATTTCGTTTGCTTCTCAGTGTCCATGGATACGTCTGGAACGATCACAGATGACTTGTCGCCAGACGGGACTTCCACGTTCTTCGGAGGGGGTTCGTCTTCCTTGGCAGACTCGGAGCTCGTTTTGAGCGGCTTTGAGTCTTCCTTAATCGTCTCAACGACGATGTTCGATTTGTAATTGTCTAATATCACGAGAGTGCGGTTCTCTGCGGAGCTTTTTATCCGAGGAGGATTTTCCAGGTTCACCGATATCACCGTTGGGTTGTAGACACTGTCCTCCCCCCCGACGCTGATGGTCACCTTGTTATCGGACGTTGTCTCGGTGCTTGGCGTCGGATCTCCGTTGATTAAAATCGACGTTCTCCTCGACCCTTTGGTACCCGGACCTATCTGAAGTCGATGAACGAGTGGGGAAGCTCGGGGACTGACTGTGATTTTGTATACGTTGTTCTCGGTGACTTGTGATGGTGTCGGTGACCCAATTTCAATTTTCGACGACCCGTAAGAATTTGATCTCTTCCAGGTAGTCTTCAGCATAGGGCTGCTTCGTTCCGACTGTGACTGACCTATCTCCTTCGGCCTTGTACCTAGATCACCCACCGCATGATAGTACTTCTGCTTTCCAGGTGGCGGAGACCAACTGGTCGGTCTCATTCCTCGGAAGTGAACATTGCTTTCCTCGAAACTGTTCTGAACTTCCTTCGAATTTTCCGCTTCCGCTTTGCCTAATGTTGTCGTTTCATCGTGAATTTCTTCGACTTTTTTCGTGTTCGGTAAATATTGCTCGGATTCTGTTTTGATTGAATCGTCTTCTTTCTTCGCGTGCTTTTCTTCTGGTATTTCATTCGTTGGCTCGGGCGTGTCTTCTCGACGAATCGTTTGTTCACTCGGTTCTGTCGTGGACGATGGTTCTTTCACTTTTCTGGAAAGACTAAAGCGCATGGTGTCCATGAAGAGCACATTTCCGGCTGAAACTTCCGGTCTGTTGTAGGACCTTTCGCTTTGACTGCGGGATAAAGATGATCTCTTCGAGTTTTCTGAAAGTTGATTGAAAAGTGCGCGTTGTTTGTGGATGTAAAAGACAATGTAGTGTAATGTTTGAGAAAGAGATACGATATGTTAACTTTACAATTCAGTTTCAATGCGATGCGCCAGAATTTGAGGAAGTAACAGCTAATTACTAATTTATATAACTATAAAACTTTATATTGTGATGTCAGTACAAGTTCTTGTTACTGATTTTATAATAATATAATTTTATAATAGTTTTACAATAATATAACGATCATTTTTGTTAAAAAACAGTCTATCATCAAATAGTTCTGTTATGTATATAATAAATGTAAGCATCACATTTCATTTCTAAACGGGTTGGGTTTCAAATTTAAATAGAGTTTTCTTTTGGTTCAAACGTCAATAAATTGAATACTTTTAAATTACTTAGAAACAAAATATAGACTTCAAAATATTTTACGTTATACAGATAATTTAATTATTTTTTTATCTTCAACGTTATTAGTGATTACAAATTTCTCTGGACTATAACGATTCGCAAATAACAGCTATTATAAAGCAAATTAGTATAAGCGTTAATATTAATAATATAAGAGATAGAGCTAGAGTCCTGGCGCACACATTAAAAATGAAACACAGAATAATTTCTTTACTTTTCAGCTCTACATCATTGTAAAGTATCACCCATATAAAATAAAAGGCAAAATACAAAAGACTAAACATTATCTTCGAAACATATTAGATTTAAAAAAAATGATCCACTGAAAGTGACATGAAATTACAAATGATATTATTAAAAATCTAATTACAAAATTTTATTTCATATGACGCTCAAACATATAACACAATATTCTTCGCAGCACAAAAACACAAATAAAACATTTAAAATTAAAAAAGTCGAATAATGCAACCGTATATTGCAAAAAGAATAGCCAATTATTAGCACATTCTTGACAGGCAATTTCACGCAGAAGCTATCCCATGTCGCCGGGTATTATTCCGTAATTAAATATGGATATGAAACAATCTAAATAAATTTCAATATACTTTATTTACATATAATGTATTGAAATGAAACTTTGAACATACTTTTATATAACTTTGAACATTTTTCTCTTGCAATATTCTATATTTCTCAGCGTTTCAAAAATTGAAATAGCTAATGCAAGTGCAAACATGAGTTAACTTGTGACCAGTCAACAATGTGTTAAAATCTGCAGTGATTGAACTCTTACCTTCCGACTTCAAAATCAAATCCTTCTCATCGACAGCGATGCCCGGAATGTGCCGCTTGGGCTCCTCGATCTGTTCAGCTTCACCAACTCCAGCTACATTTTCCTCGTCTACCCTCTTCTTCTTTTCATCATCCCGTTTCGTAGTCTTAAGCTTCGCCGGGTAAACAGTTTGATTAAAGTTTTTCTCGTGGACGTTTTCCTCGCTTTTCCGCAACCCGTCCTTCTTTCTCAAAGGAGGGGTATGCTCCACGTTATAAGGCGGAGGAACATACTTGTCCACCTTAGCTCCCTCCAGGGAGTTCTGGCACATGTCCTGAGAGACCTTACGCTCCTTCAACCTGACTCTGTCTATCTTTGGGTCCCTGATATTGGGAACAGTGATGAAATTGTATCTTCCCTTCCGCTCGACATTCGCCGCCGTCGCCACTTCCTCCTCCTCTTCCTCCTCCTCCTCGTCCTCCTCTTCATCCTCCTCCTCCTCTTCTTCCTCCTCGGACTCGCCGTTGTTCCGTTCCTCCATGCTCGATGCGCAACTCCTGGTCAGCCTGCCCCAAGACAGCCGCGTCGCCTCGGATGGCTTCTCGGGCGCGAATATCACGTTGTCGACGTTGAACAGAACGTTCTTCCTTCTGGTCTCGATCACCTTACCCCGCTTGAGAATGCTCTTCAGCGTTTGTTTGGCTTCCTTCAGTCTTCTCGGTGGTCGCTTCGGTGAAACCTTTGGTATGGGAATCCTGGTCGCTGGCAGGACCTCGTCCTCGTCCGAGATCTCGCGGGGTTCGTTGAACACCCTGATCCTTTGGCCGCCGATCTCCGCGACCGCGCTTCTGTTGGGTATCCTTTCGATCGATTTCACCTTCGACGAGTCGAACAAGCTGGACAGCGACTTCACGTCGTCCTGCTCCAGCGCGTTGTCCGACAGGTCGTCGCTGAGATCGTCCTCGTCCCTCTGCTTCTTCAGCAGCAGATACGGGTTCACATCGCACTCCAGGATGCTCCGTCTCAAGTCCCCGCTGCTGTTCGACGCTCGATCCTTCCATTCGTCCTGATTGATCTTCACCTGGCTCGGTTCCTGCGGTTTCGCGGCCCCGTTGTCCGACCAGTCGCTCCTCGCGTCTCTGATCTTCTTCGGTATCCGTACCAGTCTTCCGGGTGCTATAGAGGGTGGCTGACCCCGCGGAGTCGCCAGAGGAGCCTCCTCTTTAAGCCACTCGTCCGTGGACGCAAAGTTCGGTCGCGGCTTGCGCGACGGTTCCTCGTAGCTCCCGGTGCCCGATTCCTTGTCGAACCACTCGGACTTCGAAGAAGTACTCTCGATCGAGGCCTTCCTTTCTTTCGCGTTCCGCGCTACGCTCTGGCTCCGGGCATCGCGTTGAGACAATGGCCGGTGAGGCGAAATGCTCCGAGCCCTCGTTCTCGGCTCCACTAGCCGGCTCCGACGCATCTGATCGTACGGATCGTCTATCGATGGCCTTAGCACTCCTGTCAATCGTTGTTTTATATAGTTAGTTCGTTAATTACAAGGGTCTTTGTGGAAACTAATGTGTTTGGCCCTTTGGCTATGGGAGAATTTGGTTCGAAGCTATATCTTTGTACGGGAAAGTCTGATGCAGACATGTAGAATCTACTGTAAATGTAAATTTAATATTCTTTTAACACATTGAATGCCGCACGATTTTATAGAGTAAAATACACCTAATGGGAAAAGTATAATAATCATAAATTGATTGAATTGCATTATAATTGCAGCACATTTATCTAGCTGAATACCACCGAATTAGGTAGCATTATTTACATTACAGAAATATTTTCAAATAATCATCGTTTAATCGAGTGAACTTTGGTAGTTCGATTTGGTTGGGGGTCGCCGATGACCCCTATGACATTTAACATGTTATGGATGCCCACCCTCGCCGAATAGGCGTACTTCTGTATCCAACAAAACGCAGCGAAAACGAACATGAAACAGAATACGACAAACTGAAATAGGTATAACGATAGAGAATGAACATGGGAGTCAATGTCTTATTTATATCTTATTTTGTCGCATTCTGTTTCGTTTGCGGTCTTCTTTTACGCGACTCGATGAATAACAAAACTCAGTGAAAAATAAGGCGTTACTTTTTCTATGGTTACTTACAAGGAAACCTTTCTAACCAGCACACATCAATTTGGATGAAACTAATGCGAGACATGATTCTAAAAAAATTTGTGGCACATATTTTTTGTCGACCAACATTCACTTTGAACAGGTGAAAACATCTCACAAAGGTCAGGGTAAAAGTATATTTTTTATATCTCTGAAACTAGGGAGTGTAGAAAGGAAACCTAAGTTGTTCATTTAAAGTCGAACATTTAAAAAATAATTTCTTTTCCTGACCCCCTAGTTTTAGAGATACTGTAAAAAATATACTTTGGGAGATGATAAGAAAAAATACGTGTCAAATATTTTCTTGAAAACCATATTTCACATAAGTTTCCCTTGTCAATATGACATCCTATGTAAGTGCAAGAGAGCTCTTGATCCTGTGACTGTTCAACTTGTGAGTAGTGTGCGAACGCTCCCGAGCTGGACAATACCTATTGCAATTTGAGGCTAGTGGAGTTTTCCACTGTACAATTATATCAGAATAGACGACAGTGTGCATAGCTGTCGATGACAGAGAAAGAAACAAGCCACTTAAGCGACGTACCGTTCAGAAAGACGACATACGCAAACGTCGCTATAATGGCGTATCGTTCAGAGAGATGACATCCGCGGAAACTAACTATAGTGCCGCATACTAGCAAAAGTATTAAGAATGTAATGAGAAAAGTAGAATTATGATGAAAAATCGTTTAACCAAAAAAATACTATAAAAAACATTACATTTTAGATATTTTATATATTTCTGCATCGTCTGTATTCTAATATATCACTTTTTAATTTTCTATCAGTCCCTGTGAATCCACAGTCTTTAGACGAACAAGGGATCGGCGTCATTTATTTATATATAAGCTGCATTATTCATAAAATTATAATATAGTCAACCCTCTTATAGGCTACAAAAACACGGTTTCGATATAATACGGTAAAAAAATTGCGACAGCATTCCCATAACACGATATTCTTATGACGCGGTTTCCATATAGCGTGACATAATAAACTTGGAAAAATTTTCCATTACACCGGCCAAGTCAGTTGACGGCACTCTTACGACACTGTTTTAATACAACATGGAACAAATTATCCGTGTTAGGAAGGTTGAACGTAATAATTTATTTAATGACGTATGATATATGAGACGAGTATTTAAGCGAATTCTTTGGTGTAGAGGGTAAACAAAAACTGTGTATATATGTATATAAATTGTAAAATTATAGATGTTATAAAGATCTAAGGCACTTCGCTTCGTTATTGACAACGCGTAAATAAACTACTATTTACGAATTCTTAAATTTTGATTTTATAATTTCAAATTTCCATACTATTTTTGTGGGTACAAAAGCATCGTATATTTATTATATCATATTTTATGTATTTGCAGAATATTTTGCTTAAAGTAAGAGCAAGATATTATGTATCCGGGTAATTGATACAAATTTCAATGACGAAATTAATTAATAAATAATCAAGACAGTTTTAGTTTTAATATGATAATAAATTAAATTTCTATTCTAATTACTTCCAAATAATGTGAATAAAGAGAGAATAAAATATCCTATACGGTTACATAAGGTGCAACGAATATTTTGATTTCGTATGTACTTGTTTGTGTAAATTGCAAACAGTTTTTGAATCGCAATGGAAACGAGTGACTTTAGTGCCAATTATTCAAAATGATCTTAACCATTCTAACACAAATAAAAAAGCCATTTTAAACATTTAAAACCCTTAACTAATATAAAGAAACTATTGTCCCTCTTCGTGTACAACAAATAAAACTGATTATTAACATATTGCAAACGCGTTCATTTAGTATATATTATCCAGCTCTAATTGATCTAACAGGCACGCACGATAATTATGAAACCTTCTTTTTCTTACTCACATTTCCTCCAAGACGCGGATGCAATATAAGAGAACGGAATGTTTAGTATTTAATATTGAAAAATTCACTGGAGAAAAAGTTGAATTGAATATAATTCAAAATTATGGAAAAAAAATTGTACTTACGTATTATACAGGATACCTTCGTTTTTAAGAAATAAAATATTAATAATAACAGTAATAATAATAATGATGATGATGATAATAATAATAATAAAATATTAATAATGTGTTATAATAATAAATAAATACTAACACAGACCTAACCCAAATGATTATTTAGCGCGATCTCCAGTTAAGAAACAAAGATGGTCCGTATAATACGCAAATAATTCTTATGTAAATTTATGTTTCTATGAATTGCAAAGGAAAAATGAGTTTATTTGATTGTAAATAATTTGGCAACAAAAAGGAATTACTTTTATATGGAATAGCAGGCATAAATTGTCGTAGATGTTAAATATTTATAAACAATGAATGGAATTTCAATTGAGTTATTATAAACTGAATAATATTCGTTTTTACTAAATTCAGTAAAAATTCTACCATATGTCTGATTCTACGTTATAAAGCCAAAAAATAAAAATACAATAAACGATTATACAAATTATCGTTTAAAACTAAAACAACCAAGCAGTTAAATTGACTTTTTGAAATTCCTACGTAGAAACTCCAAGAATACATCTATTGAGGCTTTAATTGATTTATAATTTAGTTTTCATATTGTTAAATCAATTTCTTTTGCAATTTCTCAGAGAAACATCTATTACTTTTTTAATAATTGCAAAAAGAAGACATCAGGAATGGGTCATTTTGACCCGTCTGACAATTTTAGTGTTAACCAGTTAACTGTAGAATTTAGTTTAAAAAATCTTTGATTGTACGCGCTGTAAAGTCAAGCAATCAAGTACATGTGTCATATACTCGTGAAACGCAGTGCAAATATATTCTATAATGTATTTTAACGAAAAACTAAAGCAAAACGAAGAAAATTTACATGTTTATCTGAAAAAAACGGATAATTTATCGTTGAAAGAATTAGTATCGTTTTGATTTTAAGATGACATGTATACTCGTCGAACGCAGTTAACTGGTTAATTATAATATATAAACGTATAATATGTAAATACCTGAAAAAGAGCTACTTACCTGCAAGGCTGGGCCTCGATCTCGAGGATATCGGTGGAAGTCGACATGTTCCTCCTAAAGGTAGACCAGTCAATCGGTGACCACCGCACTTGCGGCAATTGCCGAACTTCCGGGTGGTCCCGCTCAGAAATTCCGGGCAGGAGCACACTATCAAAATCGGTGCTCCTGGGGGTGGCGGTGGCGGCGGTGTTATGAAGCCTCGTGGCTCGTGGCCAGACCTCGATGATCGAACCGTCCCATAGAGCCATGGGTCGCCGTAGATCATTTGTCGTGAGTACCTACTATCGCCGCTTATGGTGCCCCACCCTTTCCCGTGATCATCGGTGCTTTGACTCTGCCGCGACAGGCCCAATCTCACGCTCCACGATTTCTTTCCTTTGCTCAACGTATCGTAATTCTGAAACGAACGAATTGATGTGTTAACGTTTCAGGCTTCTTATCTTGATGTATTTTTAGTAAATGATTTTTCTAATTGGGAATGGTAGATTTTGAAATGGCCTTTGTCTTTTTTGTTTCGTCAATTATGCCTGAAACTTTTACAAATTTTCGAAAGAAAATCATTCAATTTTAAAAATAATGCAATGGACCTGCTCAAATAATACACATAGATATATTTTAGTTACGTTTAAATGCGACTAAACAACCTTTAGGTATTTAATACAGTAGCCATTTAACGTACCACGCGCTATATAATTAAATATCTACGTATTTTAAGTATTTATACATAATATACTATCTTTTATCTTCATTAAAAGATGTATCAAAATTATTATTAGGATATCATATGTTAATAATATGTGCTTCCAAACAGCAAAGAAGAATTTACGCATCCGACTGAAATAAAATTAATGAAATATACTTCAGTTATCAGCGACTTCCTGTAAATCAGTAATTCACTTTGTTCGAGCGACTATTTTACTTGCGAAACAGAACATGTTTCCCTTAATAACAGTATGCGTATTTTAAAATTCTTCCATCACTTACAATGTTTAAAAAATTACATTTAGAATGGTGTTATAGTAGAATCTCAATTATCTAAACTGGTTAGCCGGCAGGACGTTAGGATTATCGAACGATGACGTTTCGAAGCAAGAACAAGCTTTCATTAAGCGGTATCTGTATTAATATTTTTTTAAGAGTTTAATTAGTTTAGTCGATTTCCATCCTGCTTTCGGCGTATTTATAAACAACCAGTTGCTATATTCTTTCTCAATGTAACTTATGCAAATGAAATTCTTCTTTTTCATACTACCCATTTTATGCTACCTAAGAATTTCTTCAATTGCGACATACGATTCTTTGTTTAATTTGTGAAAATAAAAATCACTAATTTAATGGGTGGTTTTAATACATGGAGGATAACTGTTAGACATATTCCAAAGTGTTCGCAAAACTTCAGAATATTCATTGTTTATTTTATGAATCGATAACAGTTTTGTTTAACGACGTTTTTGTGCGGTTAAAATAAAATTTTATCTATTTCAAAACATATATTTCTCTTGATATAATTTATTAAATAATGATCCAGTTATAATAATTAAATAAAATTTACTTAAGGCAATACTTCGTTTCATGAATAAAAAAATATATAAAATCAACAATTCAAATATTATACTAATTCTAAGATTACTAAGATAGTACTATTATCAGATTCTCATAACGGAGGTTCTATCCTATTACCCTGTTTTCCAAAATATTCAACTTTTACAGATCCATTCTAATAATACATCTTTTTTTAAAATGATTTCATTTTCGAATTGCACGTATTCGATAAACGATAATTATTCAATATTAAAATCGGAAAAGTATTAGAAACAAAAATTGATTTATTTTGAATGAGTCAGAGAATCAAAGCGCAATGAAATATTGAAAACGTAAATGTTTAAAAAGTAATGAAATAAACTTCAATGCCATTACAATGTCTTCATGTTATGCACATATGTTGCCTAATAACATAGTATAGAAATTAAATTTGTAGCTACAGACTAAAAATTGTCTAAATTAAACGGAATTGTCTAATAGACTATTTCTTTAAATTATGTTCTTTTAGATCAAGTTAACAATATGGAGACCATTTATTAGAAACACTTTTATTTATTATTTTCTTGTATTATTTTATTATTTTGTATTTATGTAGAAATATATTTATTATTTCCGTTTTTAAGTTAACATGCACACGATGGAAGTGTCAACTTATTATACACATGTTTCCCGTACATGAATTTGTATTGTCTCCATTTTTGTAAGCGTCATTAATATACGGTGCATGTTCTTGTTGCGAATAATTAATGCTATTATAATGATTACAAAGGAAGAATGCGTACGTGAAACTTTCCATTTCGACAGGATATCCTCATATAGTAAGCGGAATCCTTAATGAGACATATATATTGTTATCAGTGTTCGAAATACTAATTCATTGTTTTGAATGCAACATCTGTATAAGGTGTCTCAAAACAAACCACTTTAAAAACGAGGAACGTAAATTCAAATGAATTGTAATTTTAACAATAGATAATGCTCTAATTAAAAAATAAACTATCTTTCCATATTTATTTATTACAATAAAATAATTTATCGTTGTAATAGAATAAGGGAAACGTCAAAGGTATTGAAATTAGTGAAGTAGTTGCAATGTTTAGTAACATAATATTTAGAACTTAAACGTTTCTTTTAATAATCCGTGTACAATTTTCAAAAATGTATTCAAATTAATTAAATTTCAACCCAGATGGAACATTAGATTCAGTAAACATAAGTAACAATATGTTCTAGAATATAAGTATTTTATTGCGGTATCAGTAATAATCAGATTGAGATTTTATATTTTATATAGATCATAGATCTATATGTACTTTAATATTAATTCTTTAAATAAATGTATTACCTTCTCATTTATAATTTAAGACTGAATATGGACAAGTCTATACAGATATATCTAAAATATCATATCATGTGTTTCGTCCTATTTTATAAAATCAAGATAATAAAATTAAAACATAGTAAGATTATACAAAGAATATATAAATAAAAAACAAACATGTAGAAAATAGGTTCTGATATATCATATTCTTGAATGACACTTCGATCATCACAAAATATGTTTTCCAAAATTTCTATTTTTCGTACATACAGCTTTATTTATATAAACTTTTGATTGTGTAGACAATAAACAAAAAATAGCACATTTTATACTTCATTATTTTATAAACATTTTCTAGAATAAAATTCGTGTGAGCGTTTCATTTCTTTCTCCTCTGAAGTTTAGTGGCTGACACAAAGTTAAGAAGCGAAGAAAAAAATGAAAAGCAAAAGGGAAAGAAACGGAGACAAAGGTGTAACAGGTTTCAGCGAAAGTAAATGGTGGTAGGAATCGTTGGAGATCGCATTTTAAATTTGTTTTCCCTTGGTGAAACTGCTGCGATCGGGGGACCAGCTCGTTTTAGCACGGTCTTGTG